CTCTCCACTCGCTCTCTCGGACCCAGGCGGAGAAGTAGAGATAGTTACTGCTCAGACATCTAATGTGTCTGGAGCTTGGAAGGGAGAGCGGGGCTGCAGGTGGCAGGGAAGCCACTGGATCACATGAGCACTGAGCTCCGAGTGGAATGGGAAGAACGAGCCAGACCCCGAAGTGAAACGGAGAGAGAGGAGCCCAGGATGGGTCTACAAATGTGAACAGGCCCCTGGGAGCCAAAGAGAGCCTGCAAGACGCCTAGGAGGGATAAACGCCGAGGGTGTCCTTGTTGAAAAAGCCAGTGGGGTCCGAAAATAGGCAAAACTAATCTTTGTTTCCAAACCTGGGGAGAGTGGTTGTCCCGTCAGGGAGTAAGTAGTAACTGAAAGAGGAGGCGGTAAAAGGGGGGCTTCTGTTTCTTTCTCTTTCTGGGTGCTGCTGAGACTCGTGCATGAAGCTCGTGAGAAGGACTGGGAATGGCAGGGGACGCTGGGGCTCTGGTACCTGATCCAGGGTGCACACTTCTGTCTCCAACTCAGACCTACATCATGCTGGCTCTAAAAACCTCATGTGCAGAAGAAGGAATCTTCTTTTCAAAGAGAGGGACACGGCTGATTTCACATTTTTAATCGTTTAATTAATGAATATTTACATTTTAAAAGTCAATTAAGGGAGTAAGCATCCAGACCACTGACTGTGAGGCAGAAAATGGATACATGTGTCACTTCCAGGGCTTCACAGAGGAAAATCCAGGGAGACTGAGTTTCTTGAGTTCATAATTCTCATTCTGAATACAAACGGTTAGGCCTATCCATCCTCATTGAACACTTTAGTTAAAAACATTATCAACAGTGCTTCCATATTGAGTGCTCAGCCGGGAGGAGATTGCATTAGTTGATAATAACTTTCAGAACCAAAACTCATATGGTTTTTCATTCCTGAAAGAACTTGACCTTGTTACCATCATTCGATTGTGGAATGCTGGCTCTGGGATAGGAAAGAGTTAAAAATCTTGCTCATGGAAGAGATTAAAACTCACCCAAATCTGTTTGGTTGAGGTATTCTGTTTATTCTCTGTTCTCTCTAGAGGAAGGATCAGTAAACATTTCTTAAGGATAGCAAGTAGTTTGGATTTGCAGATCAGTTGGTCATGAGGCATGTAAACAAATGGACATGGCTGCAATCAAGTAAAACTTTATTTACAAAAACAGGAGGCCCAGTTTTTGTTTGCCAAAGCCTGTCACAAGGGTGAGGCTAGGCGTCCGAGTTCTGTCCAGAATATCTGAATATTCTGAATGGGTGAATGTTCATCAACATGTATTAGGTTTTTGTGTCAGAGACATGTGCTCCAACTACAATTTTCTAGTACGAATTTTTAGAATGACTGAGTAAGAGTATCAGTATTTTTGACCCAGACCATTCTATGTCATGAATCCAAGTGGAATATACCTTAGGAGAACATGATGGTATATTTCCCAGTGTTGAGCAGAACTAGGATGACATTCACTTAAGTGCATATACCTAGAATAAAGCGAACAATTGAGCTGCTGGAAATAGGAAAGAGTAATTAAGCCTACATTTTGGTTGGACTGCCATCCCAGTCTCTGACTTTAAAATGTAAAAGTTTAAAATGATTAGTGTGACAACTTTTTGTTTTTAAGTTAAAATTTAAAATTGGTATAAAGGAAAAAATAATATAACCTATAATAAATTCAGTCACAGCATTTTTGGTTCCTTTAATGAGTCCTTCTAATCTTAAGTCAAAGCTAGTAATATATCACATGTGAATTAAATGCCATTAGGCATTTATGATGGTATCTGCCTCCCCTAAACATAAGGCAAGTCCATTGATTCTTCACCTGCAACTTTTTGATAGATGGTGAATTCCTTTTCCAGTGAATTTCTAGATTCAAGAATTTCTCAAGACCTATGCCTGGTAATATGGCCACCTGATGTGAAGGACTGACTCATTTGAAAAGACCCTGTTGCTGGGAAAGATTGAAGGCGGGAGGAGAAGGGGACAACAGAGGGTGAGATGGTTGGATGGCATCACCGACTCGATGGACATAAGTTTGAGTAAACTCTGGGAGTTGGTGATGGACAGGGAGGCCTGGCGTGCTGCAGTCCATTGGGTTGCAAAGAGTCAGACATGACTCAGCGACTGAACTGAACTGATGCCTGGTAAAACTCATTTTAAACCTCCATATTGCCAGTATTAATTGACCTCAGAGGATCTTCCAAGGGAATAAAATTGTATTCCTAAGCACACTGAAAATCCTATAACATTTGCTCATTTCATAATGAGAGAATAGAGAGGGGTGAGAAGACATGAAGAGTCCTCTTTAGCCCCTCTCCAGAGGGTGACAGGCAGCTGAGAATGCTCATGTGCCACATCAGATCAGAAATGTTAAAAAGAACCATTACCTCTGTTAAAAAATAGTAATATTTTGTCAGTCACTTCAAAGTGTGAGTTAAACTGAAAATTTATTATAGAGGCCTCATGGGTTTTTTTTCTTTTTTCTCCAGAAAGCTCTTTCTTGTCCTCTAAAATGGTTTCCATAATAAGGAAGGGCTCTGGATGGGGCCAGTGGTTGAAAGAATAAGGAATGAGGAGAGGCAGAAAGAAGTGCAGGGTCTTCATAATGTATGTAAAACCTGTTATGCCTGTTATCTTACATCTGCAAAAAAGGTTTCCTGGCTTGCTGTTTTCATCTGGAAGACTGTTAATTCAAAATATATTACATTTTCCTGTTATTACGTAAGAGATTAACTGATTACATTTTTGATTATCTAGAGATAAATTTTTTTTCCAAAGATGCTATTAAAATAAAATCAATGCTTTGTTTTATAATATGTCACTCAATTATCTAATGACCAGCTCTCCAAGCCCTTCTGTGATGCTTTACAGCTGAAAAAGAAGACAGTCCCATTAAAGGGTAAGTCACCAAGTGGACACTTGCTCCAGAGCAAATGCCTGCACCTGACCTGCTGTGTTGAGTGTCCTCCGATGACTAAGCTTGGCCAGCATGAATAGCTTTAATAGGCCATGACCACTTTCTACCCTTCACTTCTTATAACCACAGATTTTTTTTTTTCCCCTTCTTGAAAGCAAAAATTATCACACGGATTATCAGAATCTCAGGTACAGCACTTAAAGGCTGTAATTACCTTTTGTAATTTCAAAAGATTATAGTCAATTTAAAACATTGTACAGATTCATAATAGTTTTTCAAGATGCTAAATCCCTTGCATTTTATTTATTTAATCCCTTGCATTTTAAAGTTTATATCAGACATTGCAATGTTAAAGTATTTGAACTTCTAGTAGGTACTAATGGTGTCAGAGAATGATGGGTAATTAGGTGATACATCTTGTGTCCACAGCCCGTGCAATTTTTACAGAATGGTACACTATGTAAACTGCCACTGCAAAGCAAGGAATTGTGGCACTGAATTTCCCATAAACCTACCCAAATAAATCTTGTAGCCCCCTCTTTGCAGATAAACATCTTGCCTTTGAGAAGATTCAGTGGAAAAGAACCTTGCTAACAGTTTCTTTAGCAATAGCAGGAAGATTTCTTGTCTGAGACTCCATAAGGTTTTCATTTCATTAACTCTTTCCTCCATCTCCTTTATTCATCCAACAAACATGTACTGAGCACCTCCTATGAGCCAGGCTCTGTTTCAAGCTCTGGAGATAACAATATGAACAAAACACAGGGAAGTCCCTGACCCATGGAGCTTCCATTCTAGTTGAGGGAGACGGACAAGCCCATAAATCCATAAGATCACAGGGTTCAAAACAACTTAGAGACATCCTCTCTGAAATCTATTTATTGCATCTCCTCATTGTGGGGCAGTGATGAGTGAAAGGAGAGGCCAGCAGTGGACTGCAGCAATGTCCTTAGTCCTAATGGGTGAAGAGTCCTTCAACTAACAAGGGTCTCAGTTTCCTTAGCTATAAAATGGGGAGAGGTTGTATTACGTGCTTTTTTTTTTTTTTTAAAGAGAAAGGGCCCTTTCAAGAGTCAGTCTTTTGACTCTTCTACATTTAAAAAACATTTAAAAAGAAAATATGAGAAATCCGTAGGTATTCCACATATACTCAATACTTTAAATGCCAATCTAAACTTCACAAATAGCAAACATCTTATTTATGATGGCTATAGAATGAAGCCATTTTTTCATCTTTGACCGCCATAAAAGCATATTAATTTCCATTGTTGGTTACACAGTCTCACCTCATTTGTAAAACTCTGTTGTGGGTATGTAACACTGTCTCTTTCCTGCTAACTGACTTTATGTTTCACTGGCTTTATGTTCCTATTTAGTCTTTTCTACTGGACTACCAGCTCTGTGAAACAGGTATGGATCCTTACTTCTTTGGACGAGATTCTGTCCAGGTAACCCATAAAGGTGTTAATTATTGCACCCAGTGTGAGTGTGAAAGTGAAAGTCACTCAGTCGTGTGACCCCATGGACTATAGTCTGCCAGGCTCCTCTGTCCATGGGATTCTCCAGGCAAGAATACTGGAGAATTCCTTCCCTTCTCTAGTGGATCTTCCTGACCCAGGCATCGAACCCAGATCTCCTGCATTACAGGCAGATTCTTTACTGTCTGAGTCAGCAGGGAAGCCCCACCTATACCATATTTTATGGCCTGTTGGGAACTCACATTAGTTCTTCAAGTTGTAAGAGTCCTTCTGCTTAATAAAACTAGAGCTATGGGGCATCAAAGGGTATGTTAACATCCAAAAAGGAGAAATGGATTTCCTGAACAATTCACAGATGAGGATAGTGTGAATTAATAAATAACCCTAACCTCTTTAGAACTGTAGTGGAATGTTAATGCTTATTTAATAATGCAAGAGATGGTGCATGTATTTTACAATCAATTTTTCTTCTAGAAGGTAGCATAGCTGGAGAGCTGAATGTCAAATAAGGCTGGGCTCATACTCATTCACTTGGCATGAGTTATGAAGCCCCTGATTCTCTTGAAAGACAAGTTGTATTTGCTGGTTTTATTTTGAGATGTAGAAACTCCAATTTCAATCAATCTGGCAGCTATGGATGGCAGGAAATTTTACAGGACTGTAAGAAATGTTCTTTCCTTATCTGAATCTGATTCCCACCAACATGTTGGTGATTTCTGAAGGCTGTATGCTCTGTCTTTGAGTTTTATGGGTTGCTGTGTAATCAAATATCCTACACATGTTTTCAAATCTGATCCGGTGGGCCCTTTCATAAGGATACATCTTGTCAGTGCCTTTGGAGGTAAAGTGAAATCTCTGCTGTAATAATCAAATTTAATTCCTTCCTGTTGCTCTGTCGTGTCAAGATACATACTATCAATATTATCAGAAGTACCTAACATGGGCTGCTGTGTAGACTAAGGTCTGTCTTGTCCTTTCAGCCACTGGAAGGGAAGAAGGACCACATCCCTGGTTGGGTGCACACCACAACTCCAGGACCAGATGGGCAGAGCATCCCATGGAAACTTCAAGAATCTCAGAGCAGCATCACAACATCTTCCAGCAGTAAACATTCTGTGAAACAGAGCCAGTATGGATTACAAGATGAAGGCAGGTCCAGCAAACAACAGCTGCATGTGTGAGGCTCAGAGGAAATTAAGGAGGTTCAGACAACTTTGGGCAACGTAGATCACAGTTACAGATAAATTCTTGTTAGCCAAGAAAATGCACTTCGGTATACATCACAGAATTGAAATATGTGTTGAAGCTGTTGGGTATATACTACCTAAGAACGCAGTCCCTTTCTCACAAGGAGAGGCACGAGGAATTATAAAGCCATGCCGATGTTCATTGTCCTTACATCAGTATGACTGCAGCCCTTCCAAGTCAACTCAAAGAGTTGCAATCCAAGCTGTGGATATGTGCTCTGGGTCTGGCTTTGTCTGTTAGGTCTCCAGAAAGTCAGAATGTGACATGTACTCTTCAGAGCGGAAGTCTCTGAGCTGCAAACAAGTGTAACGCTTAAGTCCAAACCTCCATGGGCACCATAGCTTCCTTGGTTCCAACAGAAGGCAGTAGGTTTTCTTCAGACAAGAAATAAAAGGGGAATTGCACCAAGAACCCACGGATCTTTTTCAGTTCTTCCTCAGCTCTAATGGGATCCTCCTTTGCTAATATGGGCTTGCTGATAAAGTCTCTCAGCTGAATTAAATTGTGTACTTCATCACTGGGAAGGCACCGGAACACCTGATTAAAATGCAAATAGGAAACTGAGTGATAAGTTTAAAAGAAAGCGTATCCCCTTTATGGAAAATACTCACTCTGACAGACAAAACCTTTGTTTTATGAAACATATGTGTTTTATGTTACATCACAGACCTGATTGAAAGGTTGCTTCTTTTATTTACTACAGAGAGTGTGAGATTTTGCTTCTATCAAAAAAAAAAAAAATCATAGAGGACTTCCCTGGTGGTTCGGTGGTTGAGACTCTGAGCTTCCAGGCAGGGGGCATAGGTTCAACTCCTGGCTGGAGAAGTTCTATATACCATGCAGTATGGGGGGTGGGGGGTGGAGATAGATCGTATATCTGATCTATGGGGGAGGGGTGCTTCCCAGGTGCCCTAGGGGTAAAGAACTGGTCTGCCAATGGTGGAGACCTGGGTTCAATCCCTGGGTGGAGAAGATCCCCTGGAGGAGGGCATGGCAACCCACTCTAGTATTCTTGGAGAACTATGAACAGGGAAGCCTGGTGGGCTACAGTCCACGGGGTCACACAAGTCGGACATGACTGACGGAGCACACATGCGTGCATATCTAATCTGCATTATCCTGTGACTGACCACAGGATAATGTCAGGTGGTGGTAGGGAGATTCATGGGTGATCGCCTACTTTAAGGTTAATATTTTTGGATAATAATCATCCCTGAATTTCACTGGAGGTTCTTGTCTAAAAGAAAAATTGTATATTTTCTCTAACTTTTTATTTTGAAAAATGTTTATGTCAGTACCTGTACTTAAAGTTATCAGTTATATATGTATTTTGCTAATTGAAAATAAGTTTCACACATCATAACACTTTACACCTGAATACCTCAGCATGCATTTCTTAAGAATAAGGAAATGTGCCTATATATCCACAATACCATTCTCACGCCTCAGAAAATCAATTTCATGTCATTTAAGATATGGTCCATATTTAGATTGATCTGATTATTCCCAAAATGTCTTCTAGAGCTGTTATTCTCCCCAATCCAGGATCCAAACTAGGCTGTGCCCTGCATTTTAAAAATACTCTACACATACGACCTATTTAATCATGTCCTTGAGTCCTCAGTATGAAATAGGTCTGTGTAGATAGTTGTCATGTTTCATTAGAAACATGAATTTTTGTGTTCACAGATGAATTTTATGTGCTGAAGGGGGTCTGGAAGTCAGAAGAAGAATGCCCTCTTACCCTGTTTATGATAGACAGTCATATGATAGAGTCAATGGATCTCAGTTTGAATATTTTCTGTGATAGAAAGCTAGCTACCTGATGATGTAACCTGTTCCAGGGTTGGGGGACTCTTAACTCTTGCACAGTCTTTGTCATCACTAATGGATGGAACGTACTAGAAGAGGCATTTGGCCTCCCTAACAGATGAAGCTGGTTTTAAACCTTTCCAAAATTACAATTGTCCAAATGAGGAAGTTTCTCATTATTAAAAAGCTTCATCATTAGAATGGATATCATTTACTATGTGCTATGTACTAAATACACTTAACAGATTATTTTTTATCCTCACGACCACCTCATGAATATTCCTCCCAATTTATAAGAGAGGAAAGAAAGGAAGGCTCAGAATATCAAATTACTATACACATACTCATACCACCAGCAACTGTGTGAGCTGGGCTGAACTCAGGTCTGACTCATTTTTTGATCCCATCTGCTTTTTCTTTTTATCACTAGACATGTACAAAGTCTGGGTAACCACCTGCTAAGGAGGCTTATGATGGGATTCTGGAATCTGAGATCAGAATGCCACTGAAGTCTCTTCTAAACCATAATCCATGACTCTTATTGACTGGTTTCTTAACGTCTACAAAGAAGTCGGACACGACTGAGCAACTTCACTTCACAAAGAAGTATTTCATTATAATTTGGAGGTATGTTGTGTTTTTACACTTGTTAAGAATACTCTGTACCAATAATATGCAGAAATAATGATATACTTTTGTGATGTGATTCAATTTAAAAAGGAGGAGGATATGCGAATCTCACCTTATCATAAATTGTAGCATTCCGAGCTGCGGTTGAAACCCACACCTCCTTGAAGAATTTGTCACTCACTGGATCCTGAATATCTTCACTGGGGCCAGAAAGATAGCCAAGGACAACCCTGAAATATAAGTGTCCTCCTGAATGAGTAACTGAGACAAAAACACTTCGTTTGCAGGCACTGTTTCAAACGGTACCGAAACTCAGGCACTCAACCATACAAGCCTATTTTTTTAAAAAGGAAATCAAAGGAAGCCATTAAGACTAAATGTGTATCCATAAGGGAAAAAGACAGCATGTACCCCAGTGTTCACTGCAGTGCTATTTACAATAGCTAGGACATGGAAGCAACCTAGATGTCCATCGACAGATGAATGGATAAAGAAACATACATATGTACAATGGAATATTATTCAGCCATAAAAAAGGAATGCATTTGAGTCAGTTCTAATGAGGTAGATGAACCTAGAGCTTATTATGCAGATTGGAGTAAGTCAGAAAGAGAAAAACAAATATTGTATTTTGACACATATATATGGAATCTAAAAGATGGTACTAATGACCTTATTTGCAGGGCAGCAATGGAGACACAGAACAGATTGTGGACACAGTAGGGGAGGAAGAAAGAGGAATGAATTGAGAGAGCAGGGTGGGACGAACTGAGGAAATATACAAATGACCGTATGTAAAATAGACAGCCAGTGGGAATTTGCTGTGTTACTCAGGAACTCAGACCAGGGTTCTGTGACAATTTAGAGGTGTGGGAAGGGGTGGGAAGTGGGAGGGAGGTCCAAGAGGGAGACGACATATGTACACCTATGGCTGATTCATGTTGATGCATGGCAGAAACCAACACAATATTGTAAAGCAATTATATTCCAATTAAAAATAAATAAATATACAAAAAAAGACTCTGTGTGTCTTTATGAAAAAAAAATCCTAAGTTGTAAAACAAAACAAAAACCCTAAGTTGTTACAATGCTTGAAACTTTTAAATGTTAGACAAGAAAGACCTTCATTTCATTCTAAGAGAGTCCTTGTAATTTGGCCTAGGAAGGTGAGGACCTTGGAAGATAGGACTGGTATTCAAAGAATGTGCCAGCCAATATGCTGAGCCCTTTCCAAAAATGATCTCAGTAAATCCTCAACCGCCTATGAAGAAGTAACTATTAATATATAATAAAAAGGGAACAACTATTATTATTTTCCTTTTACAGAAAAGGGAACTAAGGCACAGAAAGTTTAAGTAACTCTTTGGTGGGTAAGATCAACACCGAATAAAGAGTCACCCTCAGAAGGAATTGATTAAAATGCGGTAAATACCAGGTGTGCTTTAAGAGTATGAGTTTGGAGTAGTCAGTCTTTTCCTTCCCTGCCTACCGTCTTTCAGGATTCAGTACAAGGTTGCCTCTAAACAACTTCTCATGGCTCCTCCTTCTCCCACCTCCTATTTCTCCCCGGTCACTTTTTCTTTCTTTGTCCCCCACACTGGGCTTCACATATGCTTTGTTTTTGTCAGAACACCTGCAATATTCATGCACTTTTTGCTTTTAACAGGCCCATCTCCCAGTTCTAGCACATAAACTCTTTGAGAGAACATGATTTAGTTAGTCTCATATCCCCAGAGTACCTGGCATAAAAGAATACATGCAGTAGATTGTCTGAGTGGATCAAATATAAACAGAGGACTAGAAATAATAAGAAATTCTCAGGCAAAGCAAGACAAATTTCAGAGGTCATATTTGAAAATGATAAGAGCTCTTGTACTTACAAAAAGCCTAAGAGTTAAAAAGCACATCTATTTTAATCCTGTGAGGTTGATGGTGCATGATTCCCATTTTGCAAATGGGAAACAAAAGGTTGGAGACACTTTATTAGCAGAGCAAGAATCTAAGCTGAGTCCAAAGCCCTTTTCTCACACACCTGGCAGGTTCAAGGAATAAATACAGAGGCTTGTGCTACACTGGAAACAGGAGTGGAGGAATGGGTCTCAGAAGGGTTTTGGCTTTTACACTGCATGAAATTGGGACGCACTGCAGGCACAGGAGCAAGGAGTGACAGAATCTGACTTACATATTAAAAAAACGGCTGCTGTGTTGAGAATAAACTGGGCAGGGCGCGGGTTGAAACATGGAGACCAGTCGGGAGTCACTGCAGTGATCTCGGGTGGGAGACGATGATGGCTTGAGCAGTGAGGAAGGTGGGGAGATCAGGTTTCCCTGATGCAGTGGACATCGAATGTGACAAAAATAGGCATCAGGATGACTAAAAGGGCTCTTTGGCTTCAGCAACTAGATGAAGGCAGTTACCATTAGCTGAGATGGGGAATTCTGTGAGTAGAGTCAGTTAGTGAAGGAAGACTAGGAATTCAACTTTGAACTTGTTGGGACATCTATTAAATACTCAAGTGGTGATACTAAGTAGGCAGTTGGATAAATGAATCTGGAGTTTGGGACAGAAGGTTTGGCTGGAGATATAATTTTGAGAATTGCCCACATATGTATACTCATAAAGTCATGTGATTGAGTATAGACAGAGAAAAGGACCTCAACAGTAGGGGAGAGAAGGAGCAGTCAGTGAGGCTGCAGAAAAGTCAGAGGGTGAGTATCCTGGACCAACACAGTGTTCAATTCTGATGAGAACTGACCATTGGATTTAACAGGGTGGAGATCACAATCCTGTTACCCTCTTAGTATTTAAATATGTAGATTAACATCATCATTTTTAATGACTGCAGAATTTCCAGTTATGTGAAAATTTATTTAACTAGCTCTTTTGTTATGACCTTGTGGGTCATTTTCAGTTTTCCATTATTATAAACAAAGCTATAATGAACATAATTTATTCATCACATATAATTACTTTGTGAATTTCTATGATTATTTCACTCAGAGAAATTTAAAAATTAAAATTCCTGGGTCAAACTTTATGCAAAATTTACCTCAGGGGAGACTGTTCCAACACACCTAATATTTACCATGTGTGTTCTCCCCAGTCAACTCCAATATTACCAATACCTAAAAAAAGCTCAGTCAGATTATGGGGATAAAAGGGCATCTCACTTTAGTTTTAGTCTTCACTTTTTCTATCGTATAAAAATTCTCTAAAAGGGAATTCCCTGGTGGTCCAGTGGTTAAGACTTGGCGCTTTCACTACGAGGGTCTGGGTTCAATCCCAGGTCAGGGAACTAAGATCCCACAAGCCAAGTGGTGCAGCCAAAAAAAAAAAAATTTTTTTTAAATTATCTAAAACAAATGAATCTGGCACCTGGGCTCACTATGACTCTTAGAGGTTTATAACCTCAAAATTCTACTTCTACTTCAAATTATGTCTTCCAGGCAGTGCAGTGGCAAACAGTCCACCTGACAATGCAAGAGAAGCAGGAGACACGGGTTCCATCTCTGGGTTGGGAAGCTCGTCTGGAAGAGGAAATGGCAACCCATTCCAGTATTCTTGCCTGGAAAATCCCATGGACAGAGGAGCCTGTGGGCTACAGTCCAAGGGGTCGCAAAGGGTTGGACCTAACTGAGCACGAATGCACATGTGCAGACTATACAGGGATAACTTTCAAAAAAGATCCTAAAGGATGAGTTTGCACACAGATGCTGCTGCTCCTTAAGACCCAAAGCAAAATTTAACTATGTCAAATTTGAAGGACAGTGCAAGTTACAACAATAAGCCAATTAGAATAATGTCTTTGATTTGGGTTGGGTCTAGCTAGCTGAAAACACAAAAACGAACACTTCTGTGACTTTGCTTCTAACTGAGAACAAGAGGTGAGGCAACGTGTCTGTCAAGTTATCAGTTAAGAACTTGTGAGTAGAAAAAGTATTTAAATAAGCCTATAACAGATAATATTCAGTAATGAATTATTTTGCCTGTCAGTTTAATTATTAAAAATTTATATTAAAAAGTACAGTAAATATAATGTGAAGTACCCTGGGTATTTGAGGATTAAGGCTTCAGAGAAAATGAATTTGATTGTAGGCTGATGTGAATAATGGCAATTATTGTATGTTTAATAGTTTACGTTATCAGTGGGACAGTAGGAAAAGTGCAGAAAAATTTCTCTTCTTTCCACTGCTCATGTTGACCATTGTCACTGATTCTGAGCTCTACCTATGTGGCTAATGGCTTCTGTTGAGAGATGGCCACATCTGTAAATTCTGGATAATTTTCTAGGACTTAGTGAACTGTTTGGCATGCAATTGTGACATTCAGTTGTAGTACTATGATGGTTGATTCTATTTAGAACTGATGTCACATCGAAATGTGTCTACTTCTATTCAAAAATAAACCAGATGGGAAGTGGATTGAAGCTGCATTTTTTTAAAGGGGAAAATGGCTCGACTCTAGGGCACAACGTTTATCTTTGAGAATATTTCCCAGTAAAAAGAGCTAAAATCAACATAAGGTTTTCATGGTGCTTTTTAATGTATTATTTGTGTCTGCTATTGTGGAAGAGTGAAAATGCTTGTTCAAGAACAACCGCCTCTTTAAGACAGTTTAAAAGTTGCCAGGAAAAATAAAGCACCTAGGAACAAACTTACCATGAAATGTACAGAGTCAGCAAAAAGCCAAAAGGACAACAAAAATCTTTCAGTTCAGTTCAGTCGCTCAGTTGTGTCCGACTCTTTGGGACCCCATGGACTGCAGCATGCCAGGCCTCCCTGTCCATCACCAACTCCCAGAGTTTACTCAAACTCATGTCCACTCAGTCAGTGATGCCATCCAACCATCTCATCCTCTGTCGTCCCCTTCTCCTCCTGCCTTCAATCTTTCCCAGCATCAGGGTCTTTTCAAATGAGTCAGTTCTTTGCATTAGGTGGCCAAAGCATTGGAAGTTTCCTTCCAATGAAAACTCAGGACTGATTTCCTNAAGAATTTTCCACAGTTTGTTGTGATCCACACAGTCAAAGGCTTTAGCATAGTCAATAAAGCGGAAGTACTCCTGTTTCCAATAATGAAAATCCTAAAGCATTACTGAAGAATAAAAATTTTGAAGAAACTGAGGTACATACCTTGTTCTTCAATAGGATGGCTCAATATTATAAAGACATCAGCTCTTTTTATATTAATCTATACTCCAGTATTCTTGCCTAGAAAATCCCATGGACAGAGGAGCTTGGTGAGCTACAGTCCATGGGGTCACAAAAGAGTCAGACACAACTTAGACACTAAACAACAGCAACGATAAATATTCTGTAGTCATAAACAAAAAACTAATGAGAGAACTTGAATAAACAATGTTAAAGTTCACGTGGAAGAATGAATAAGAATAGCCAAGATTATTTTGGAAAAAAATACTAATTTGGGGAAGTGGCATGGTAGGAAGGAAGTAGTGTTAAAGTGCACAGCTATGATAATGAAAATGATACCACACTGGCATGCAAGTCAACAGACCTTCAGTAGGAAGCAGTAGAGAGTACGAACAGGTTAAGATGTGTGGCAATTTGGTGCAGCATAAAGAGGCACTGCAGGCTGGAGAGACAAACAGTACTGCAATCATGCAGTTCTGGATCAGCTGGTTTCTCCAGCAAAAAGAGTTAAGAGTCCCTACTTCCTTTCTAACATTAAAATAATTTGCAGATGCTGAATGTAAAATATAATATCAGGGACTTCTATGGTGGTTAAGACTCCACACTCCCAATGCAGGGGACCCAGGTTCAATCCCTGGTGAGGGAACTAAATCCCACATGCCATAACTAAGAGTTCACATGCCACAACTGAAGATCCCGTGTGCAACTGAGACCCAGTGCAGCCAAATAAATAATAAAAAGGTAAATAAATATTTAAAAATAAGTAAATAAATATCCAAAAATAAAAAGTAACATTAAACAAGCACTAGAAGATAAAAAATAAGGAAATAGGAAATATTTTGTCTTGGGTTGGGGAAGCTATTCTCAGCATATTTATTAAAATGGGGAGAAAAAAGAAAAAACTGATAGATCTGATTAATAAGAATTGAAGATTCCCCCAAATACTATAAACATGATTCAAAAACAATTGGCAAATCAGATTCGCAACAAATGGGAGAAAGAAATTAGCCTCTTGTATACTTAAATTACTTATAAGTCATTAAAAGAAAGTGAAACATTCCAACAAAATGGACAAAGGACATGAATATACAGTTTACAAAAGAACAAGTACAAATGGGTAATGGATACATTTTAAAACTCTCAAATTGCACATTGAAAAAAAAAGGGAATTCATTTTGAAACCCAACAAATTGGCAAAGATTAAAATAAAATAACAGAATTCAGAAAAGATGTGAGGAAAAAGCCCTCTAAACATTGTTAGAGGTACAATACGAAGTCAGAGGGCAAAGGAAACTACACACTTCCTTTGGCTAGAAATTCCAGGGTTAGGATTTAGTTAAGGAAACAATTAAGAAGGTGAGCAAGATGCTATCTACAACCATACCCCCTTTTGTAAATCAGTGAAAAATCTGTGTGTTACTAAGGTTCTCTTTAAAGAAATTATGGCATAGTCATATGACGTGATACAATGCAGACATTAAATATAGTACAATGTAGCTATTAAATCTTATAGAACACAATGACATGGAAAAGTGTGTGCAACATTGTTTAAATAATAAAGAACGTTGTGGAACTACAAGAACCCAATTATGTTTTAAAAAAGAAATAGAACACAGTGATATTTATGTATAGAAAAAAGTGGAATGAGATACATACCATGTTAAAATTATTAGCCCTGGGTGGTAGGATTACAGATAAAATTTAATTTTCTTATTGCTTTTCTGTGTTTGTCAAATTTTCTATAATGAAAATATGCTGAAATCAGAACTCTCTGCCTATATAATTATTATACATTTAGAAATTTATACAGAAGCCCACACCTTTAAAGAGAATACTTAAGTTCTCATGGAACTGAAAAGGTATGACATTCATATCTAGTTTATGGGAGGAAATATTTGTTTCCCTATATAACCTGCAGTAGGCAATCAATGGGTTGATTAACAGGGTACTAATTTTAAACTCTCCCCTCTAAACAAAACAAATTGACATTAGAAGCTAATTGAAATATCAATAATCAGAAAAAAAAAATCTTACTGGCAAAACAATTAGTAACAAATGTGAATAAAAACAGAGGTCTGATGTATTTTGAGGGATGAATTTGCTGAGTTCCTGGGGCAGAGGGAGCAGAATGAACTGAAGCGTGGTTCTCAGAAGCCAGAGTCTGGAGTGAGCAGGAGGGAAGGGCGTGCAGCATCTGCAGGAGGTAAGCGCTGGTGTGTGCCCATCTGCCAGGGAGCCAGTTTCCAGAAGGGACTGTTGACTTGGGAAAGGGGAAAACAGCAGCACTGCAACAGTATGTGTGTAGTGCCTTCCATCAAAAAGCTTAAAAGGTGGTATACCTTCAATTGGGGGCACTTGCCTCTATCTCGCTGTAGAGACCACACTGAAATCCCACCCTGGCCCATACAGTTCTCTGCATGTTTTAGTCATTCAGTCATGTCCAACTCTGTGTGACCCCACGGACTGTAGCCCACCAGACTCTTCTGTCCATGGGATTCTCCAGGCAAGAATACTGGAGTGGGTTGTCATTTCCTTCTCCAAGGGATCTTCCTGACCTAGGGATCAACCCGGGGTCTCCTGCATTGCAGGCAGATTCTAGAAGCATACAACTGTGGACTTCCTGAAAAAGCTTACAGGCGGGAGGGTGGTTGGAGTGTTCCATAGACAGTGGGAGCTCAACGTGTCTGCAGTGACTGAGGAAGAGGGAGAGGAGATAAGAAGCCATTTGGAAAAAAAAAAAAAAAGAAGCCATTGTGGAGGGAACAGAGAAGTGACAGGATCTGAGTTAGGTTCTCGAAGGATCATTCTGTCCATTGACACTGAAATACAGGGGTTGGGACGGGCCAGTTAGAGCCATGCCCAGGAAAGTTCTGAGTAACACTTAATTGAATGAAGGACTCATTTAGGGCCACACAATCCTTGGTTTTCAGCCCAGTGCTCTCTCCACTGGACCACAGATTTGTTTAAAACTCTCATCTTCCTGTAGAAGACTAGGAATCTTCGAGGTCTGGAGTCATCGCAAATCTTAGAACTGAAGTTTCCACATTTAAATTTGACACCAGTAATCTCTAGCATTCTCCTTTAGTGATTTTAAAAATCATACCCTTGTATCACTGGAACCATTTCAATTTCTAAAAGTGGGCACACTATAAAAAACTTAAATAGACACTAGGTGGCTTGACTTGGTCCTATATTAATAGATTTAAAATGCTAGTTTTTTTACACATAAAAATAATAAAAGCTATTAAAATAAGAAATGTTTGTGCTCCATACAAATCCATTTTGCACCACATCCTGTGTTCTGGGGACTCTGTTTTGAAAAAAGAAGAACCTGGAGATGGCAGGCATGCTGAGTTAAGAGGCTGGGCTGGGTTGCAGCGCCTACCACAGAGGGACACCCAGCTTTAGAGACCCACCGAAAGCACTGAAGCCGAAGTCCTTGGGCAAACCGACCAGCTTGGTACTCTTTTCCATCCATCACCGAAGGGACTGTCTCCGTGTCCTGCACAATGACTGCCATTTCACTGTCTCGTTTTCCCAGCATGCTTCGGTCATTTATGTTGGCAGAGCCTACAAAGAGAAAGCGCAACTGAACAATTTTCTTGTCGAGGTAGACACTCACTTGTCCTCCAGACTTGATTCTTCCTTGCTAAATTAACCCTCATTTTGTTTGGTTATCAAGAGGTGCGGTGCTCTAGGGAAGCAGTGACCTCCCTAACCCAGGGGTGAATCTCGATCAGTCTAAGTCAGCCACGGTCATGACATTTCTTCCAGTGACTGCTTAGAAATGGGCACTTGTCATGATTCTAGCCATTGTAACATGAAGGCAAATCTGCCAGGGGCTTCTGAGAAAGTTCTCTACATCTTATTAACAGACACAAGAACAAGATGTCTCTTCCAGTCTTTGGATACTCTGGCTTGACAGGTTGTATGAAAACATGATTCTAGGAGCTGTAGCAGCTATTTTGTAACCAAGAGGACAAACAGATAAGTTAAAGACAGCAGAACAGAAAGAAGAAAGACTCTGGGTCTTTAAGTCACTGGACTAGCCAACTCTAGAACTTCTTACCTTCTTACCTTATCTTCCCTATTGTTTCACATATCTCTAGCTGAATTTTCCATCTTGTGGCTCAAGGGATTCTAACTGATATAATCATTAGGCACACAACCAGGTCAGTTCAGTTAGCTTTCATACTTAATAAATTCTGCAGATTTTAACTCATGGTCATATAATTATAAATGGCAAAACCCAAGAAGACCTTCACAGCAATATAATCCACACTCTGTATTTGACTATATTAGTGGCTCTGAGTTTCCATTCTCTTGCCTCACTTGAGAGGCACAGCAATGGTTTCTGTATCAACTTCTCTCCATTCTATTTTTAAATCCAAATGAGCTGAGAATGTCAACTTCACATGTGTTTGAATATTAGTTCAACGTTTATCTTCTGCCTTCCTCTGTCACGTATTGTTACTTTTTCTGCATTAACCATTGTGGATCCACACTTTTGAATCCTTGAGGTATTCTACAAATTATGGAAGGGCCTGGCTGATTCTCTTTTTCCTTCTTGCTCCTCTTGCCCTAGCCCCACACTCCACTGTTTCTGCAGACTCAGAGCAGAACGGTCAGGTTGAACAGGAGCTTGGGGCTACCCTCTGTGATGGGGGCCATACGGGCGGCAGGTGTTAGCAGCCCTGCCCCAAGCCCAGATGGCTGGATGCTGGACATGAGAGGGAGCTGGCTCCTCCCAAAGAGACTTCACTGCCATTTGCCACAATATGGCGTGTGTGCATGCGTGCTAGGCCACTTCAGTTGTGACTGGGACCCCATGGACTGTAGCTTGCCAGGCTCCTCTGTCCACGGAATTCTCTAGAGAAGAATACTGGAGTGGGTGGCTGTGCCCTCCTTCAGGGATCTTCTCGATCCAGGGATTGAACCCATGTCTTTAATGTCTCCTGAACTGGCAGAATGGTTCTTTACCACTAGTGCCACCTGGGAAGCCCTTGCCACAATATTATCACATAATCAATACACAAATCTATGATAACTGTGGATAAAAGTGGTGCCCCACAGAGTCTCTGGGTGATAGAAAAAAAATGGAACACCTCACAGAAATCTGGAGGCCCTACTAGGGTGCTGTAAGGTGAGCCCCACCTTTGAAAAATGTTTTGTTAGTGACAAATCAACTTTTACACATACACTTACATTTTATTTATTTTTATTTTTTATACTTACATTTTAATCACACTATAAAATTTGCCTCCTCTATTGCAGACAAATCACACTAAAAAATTTGTCTTTGAGCTTGACATTTGGCCCAGCATTAATTTGGGCAAAGTCATTTAATCTTTTTCAGCTTTAATTTAATCTTTCATAAGTCAAGATCATAATACAGACCTTGTCGGTTGTTGTGAGAATTAAACAAGACCACGTGAAAGCACTTACTGATCTATAAACTGCTCCACAAATTCTAGTTATTATTGGCTTTATTATCAGATACTTGTCACCTCGATAGTATTTGCACTCGAGAACCTGCCTCAGGAGGGGGAGATCTGCTAGCACGTAGGTTTGCAGCAAAGAAGCCTCCTCTCTGCGTGAACTGCCCCTTCCCCAGGCGTGCGAACCGCCAGGGCTGAGCAGTAAGGGTCCCCCAGTGCCGCCTTGGGGCTTACCAGATGGCTCAGGGGTAAAGTATCCGCCTGCCAAGCAGGAGACACTGGTTCGATCCCTGGGTTGCGAAGATCCCCTCGAGTAGGAAATGGCAACCCACTCCACTATCTTTGTCTGGAAAATTCCATGGAAGAAGAGCCTGGCGGGCGATACAGTCCATGGGGTCTCAAAGAGGCAGACACCAGACCGAGCAGTGCCGGGACGTCACCACCACATGTGCCCAGCAGAGGCCGCTGTCGGGCCGGGGCTGCTGAATTGGGAAGCCATCATTGCTCTTCCCTGTCCGGCGGCCTGAGCAGGAGCCCCCTGGAAAGCCTCCTGCACACACACACACACACACACACACACACTCACACTCATACTTTCACACCGGTCCCCCCCCCACACACATACACTCACACCGAGCCCTGCCTCCACCAAGATCTGAGCTTTGCAAACTGCTGAGCTTGCTGAGCAGTCCCACTGATTCATGAGGCCACCCGCACAATTCACGCTGTCTGGGATGCTTTTGCTCACCTCCAGCATAATCCTAACAGTAAACTCTGGTGTAAACANACCACTTGATTTTTGGAAAATGACCTTTTCTAAGCCTGTTATTAGGAACTTTTAAAACACTGTGAGATATAGCAAAATAGAAAAGAGTACATGAAAATTTATAAGTACAACTTAGGTAATGACTTTAGAAAAGCATCAAATTTATTACCCAAGCTGAAAAACAGAACATTACCACATTCCAGAAGTCCTCAGCTATCTTCCCATGGAAGTCCTTCCCTTCCCAGGAGAGAAATTTTATGTAGAATTTTGTGTTCATCATGCTCAGACGCTGTTTTCCTGAACAAACAAGTTTACTTTGGGCTTATTTTTAATTTGTGTAAATAGAACCATATAGTAGATAATCTTTGGAGACTGGTTTCTTTCATTCAACATCATATCTTTGGGATTTATCTTATACATAATGTAATGCATTATTTTCCTTAACTGAGCACCCACAAACCTATTTATTCATTCTACTGCTGATGGATGTTTGGGTTGTTTCCAGAGTTTTGAAATAATACACAATTATGTTCTACATAGTTGTGCATATGTTTCCTGATGTACACATGTGGGAGTTTTGAGGGGCTCTGTACACAAGAGTGGCATCCCTGGTGTTTCTTAGTTTTGCCAGCACTTGGACTGTCCAGTTTTTTCTTTTTGCCAATTGGTATCTTGAAAGCCTGTTCTTTTCCTCATTACTATATTAATGAGGATGAACATCATTTGTATATTATGGGACTCAGGTATGTCCTTTTTGGGGGAGCTCCTATACAGTTCCTCTGCCCATTTTTCTTTGGATATTGTCTTTCCTTGTTGATTTAGTTCTTTATATGTTTTGAATGGGCTTCCCTGCTGGCTCAGAAGGTAAAGAATCTGCCTGCAATGCAGGAGACCTGGGTTCTATCCCTGGGTTGGGAAGATCCCCTGGAGGAGGGCAAGGCAACCCACTCCAGTATTCTTGCCTGGAGAATCCCCATGGACAGAGGAGCCTGGTGGGCTACAGTCCATGGGGTTGCAAAGAGTATTAAGTGTGTTGTAAATACTCTTTTTTTCAGTTTGTGGTTTATGTTTTTATTTTACTTATATAGCATATTTTGATGAATAAAGTTCTGAATTTTAATGCAGTTAGATTTATCTATCATTTCCTTTGTGATTTTGCTTTTTAAAATGTCTTGTTTAAGAAATTGTTAATCCTCCTGTGATAGACAGAATAATGACCCCTGCTGCTGCTGCTGCTGCTAAGTCGCTTCAGTCGTGTCCGACTCTGTGTGACCCCGTGGACTGCAGCCCACCAGGCTCCTCTGTTCATGGGATTCTTCAGACAAGAGTACTGGAGTGGGTCGCCATTGCCTTCTCCGAATGACCCCTAGAGATGACTATGTCCTAATACCCAAAGTTTGTATGTTATATTATATGGTAAAGGGGAATTAAGGCTGCAGATGGAATTAATAGATGGTGCTAATCAACTGACCATAAAAATAAGGACATTATCCTAGATTATCTAGGTGCTCAGTATAATCACAAGAGTCTTTAAAAGTAAAGGGAATTCAGAGAGAGATGTGGTTACAGAAGAATGGGTTGATACTTGGAGGACTTTAAAAGAGATGTAACATTGCTGCCTTCAAAGACAGAAGAAAGGGACCATGAACCAAGGAATGCTGGCAGCCACTCAAAGCTGGAAGAGGCAAGGAAATGGATTCTCCTTTGTGCTAAATTGCTTCAGTTGTGTCCTACTCTTTGTGACGCCATGGACTGTAGCCCACCAGGCTCCTCTGTCCACGAGATTCTCCAGGCAAGAATACTAGAGTGGGTTGTGACCCAGGGATCGAACCCACATCTCTTACATCTCTTGCATTGGCAGGCAGGTTCTTTACACTAGCTCCATCTGGGAGGCTTCTAGAAGGAACACAGCCTTGCTGACACCTTGATTTTAACCCAGTGAGATCCATGTCGGACTTCTAATGTACATAACTTTTAGATAATCATTTTGTGCTGTTTCAAGTCACTAAGTTTGTGGTCATTTGCTACAGCAGTATTAGACAATGAATACACCAACTCTTCCCTATTTAGGCCTGTGTGTTTTAATTAATTCACTTATTTATTTTTGGCTGCACCATGCAGCATGTGGGATCTTAGTTCTCTGACTAGGGATCAAACCCATACCCCCTGCATTGGAAGTGCAGGGTCTTAACCACTGGACCACCAGGGAAGTCCTTAGTGGGCTCCTCAGCACTTTCTAACTGCTTGTGATCCCTGTGTCTCCAGTTCAAGAGTTCTCAGTCTGGCTGCACAGAAGCATCATCTAGGAAGCTTTCAAAAGATAATGGTGCCAAAACAAAAACAGAAAGCAAAAAAACCTTGATCCCTGGGCCCTAAACCAGACCAATTAATCACAATTTCTGGAAGTAGGAACCAGGCATTATTAGTATTTTCTCCTAATATCACTCCATCCTTTTATCAATTAACTCAACTTTTTTTTTGGAGGGGGGAGAGGATCTATTTGAAAGTAAACTGCAGACATAAATAAACTTTCCCCTAAATGACAGTTCCATTTATCTGAACTCAAACCCATCTGTGTTCAAAATTGTTCCGTGGTGACAGTGAAAACATCTGATTAACTGAGTGGAGATAGGAAGACTCCTATCAGAGTGATGGAAATATTCTGTATCTTGTTCTGGGTGGTGGTTACATAAATGTAAACATGTGTGAATATTCATTAAGCTATACACTGAAGTTTTGTGCCATTTACTACATATAATACATTAATTAAAAAAGAATAGTCCACACACACACACACACACACAAAGTCAGTAGGCAATCCTAAGGCAGTCAGGGTTGAGACCGATGGGACCCGCTCTTTACCGGGGTAGCCTTTCAACTACAGACACTTATCTCGAGCCTGCCTTTAAGCACTGAGATCCATTCCCTACATGTAGTTTCCCACATATCACCCTTGCTGACTGCCTCTCAGCACCAGTTCATCAGTATCCATCCCGATGGTTCTGGTGTTTGGTGAAAGAATAGCTGCCTCCCCTGTAGTCCATGAGATGGGTGGGCAGTGGCACTGTGTGATCACGTTTTGTGTCTCCCTATTGTGCAGTGCAGTGGACTGCATGTGGGCATGCTAAGTCACTTTGGTCATGTCCAACTCTTTGTGACCCAGGGCATAGCAGCCTGCCAAGCTTCTCTGTCCGTGGGATTCTCCAGGTAAGAATACTGGAGTGGGTTGCCATGCCCTCCTCGAGGGGATCTTCCAACCCAGGGATCAAACCAACATCTCTTATGTCTCCTGGATTGTCAGGCACGTTCTTTACCACTAGTGCTACCTGGGAAGCCCATGCAGTGAATTAGTGAAACCAAAAGAAAGAAAGAAAAATCATTTCATTTAGTTAACAGGATAGACAAATTCTACTTAAGGATAGTGAAAGTGAAGCCACTCAGTCGTGTCCGACTCTCTGTGACTCCATGGACTGTAGCCCACCAGGCTTCTCCATCCATGGGGTTTTCCAGGCAAGAATACTAAAGTGGGTTGCCATTTCCTTCTCCAGGGGATCTTCCCCACCCAGGGATCGAACCCAGGTCTCCTGCATTGAAGGCAGATGATTTACCCTCTGAGCCACCAGGGAAGTCCTTGTTTTACTTAGGAAAGAAAGTAACTGTTCCGGTACATGCCAAAAACATGAATTAGAAAACTGGACTTGGTCACAGATTTTAGAACCAACAGGGCCACCGGGGGTAAGACATAATTAAAGCTATACATGAAAGAGATCTCAGTGTGAGAAACCAAGTATTTCCTTGTGAAGAAAAAATGAGGATAAACCATTTAGTCACTTTTCTTATGATAGATTATTCAGTGACTCTGGCATAAGTCTGCCATGTTAGAAAATTTAATCACAGGTTACTTTAACTTCTTTTAAGCTCTTAATGACTTAACACCTGTAAAATATCCTCAACCTAATTTCTCAAGTTCCTCTTTGAGAATTTTAAACATTGTTCTCTGTGTTATGAACTTAAACAGGCCAAATGTCTGACAGCAGCAACAACAATCCTGTTTCTTCCAGAGTTCCCAAAGAGGTGAAAAGAACAAAAGTATACATGGATTTTTCCATGGATTTTCCAGGGGGAAATCTGTTCTGCCCTTGAGGAATAAGAGAAAGAAATCCAGCCCCTAAACACTAGCAAGTGAGACTTCTTCATACTCCCAAGGTCACATCTTCAGTTTCAAAAAAGTAGATAATAACTGTATGCAAAAAGGATCAATTAACTTCAGAACTGCTTTTCTTTCTTTTCAAATCATGTTCCAGAGAAGACAGTCTCATTACTCCTAGGTATGAGATTTTTCTTTCTTTTCTCAGTGGAAGATAAAAATGGAAAAGGTATATTTACTGTTAAATTTTTTTCAGAACACTCCATAACACTTAGCTTCTTAAAGAATAGATATCTTATAGCTGAGAAACTACATTTTATTTAAAACAGATGAGTGGAATGCCCAACAATGGGACACAGCATATCTCTTAAGTAACATCCCCTCACCCTTGTCAATTCATTTATCTGGCTGGTTATTAATATTCATTTTCTCATTTTGACTTTTCAATGTTCATGTAACATGATATTAGAAGGCAAACCAACCCCACGATGGGAAAATGAAGCTTTCCAAGCATACAAAACAATGGAGCTACAAACCCACCCTTCTCAGCAGGCTGATCTCATCTGGGTAGAAGTACAACCAGTAGCTGCCCTGAATCTGTCCATGGGGTGAGGGCTGCAGGAAGAGACTGCAGACCGTAATCTAGGGCTACACTGCATTACTACTCCACAAGTTGGTCTCTGTACCCTGATTAGTAACACCCAAGACTCTGACTCCGGGGGAAAAATGGTAAGCATAGACACTGTTGTTGCTGTTGGATGCTCAGTCGCATCTAACTCTTTGGTGACCCCATGGACTGTAGCCTGGCAGGCTCCTCTGTCCATGGGATTTCCCAGGCAAGAATACTGGAGTGGGTTGCCATTTCCTTCTCCAAGGGATCTTCCCAATCCAGGGATCAAACCCACATCTCCTGCATCGGCAGGTCAGTTCTTTACCACTGAGCTACCAGGGAAGCTCCAAGCATAGATGTAGTGATATTTTAACATCCTTCCGATCCTGACTCTTGCAAAAACCTTGGATCTGAGGTAATGGTGAGGTGGATGTGGTGGGAGCACATACAAAGTACCAGCAGGCTACCAGGTACCCATTTATAACACACTTCCCTCCCCAAACCTCTCCCTTCCAGTCCCTGAAATCTAGTACTTGTGTACAAAATTTTTAAAAAGGGAATAATAAAGAATTAATGAGCGCAGACTGATTAAGGCCCTGCTGGGTTAGACTGCTGTCTCTGGACACTGTAATTTGCACAATGGCCATTTAATTGTTCTGTGCCTCTGTTACTTCATAGATAAAAACAGGGATTAGAAAGGACAGAAGTGAAAAAGATTCCTTCAGAAATGTTTTAGATACTGATACTCTCAACTGCAAATAAAGCTTCAAAGGAATAAAAAGAATGATTTTTGCATGAGATAAGTCAACTGACAAGGAACACGATTAGAGACCAAGTACTTACCAATAATAACGGTGTTGTCATCAGCAATTAGCAACTTGCTGTGGACATAGATAAGCTCAGTGACTAGGTTTCCTTCAAGCTCTGCATGTGTTCTAAGGCCACAGAAGGATATATAATTTATCCACTGATTGCCAACTGTAAATTAAACAAGAAATCATCAAAATTAACATGACCAAGCTCAATAAAGGCATCTTAGATTTTACTGTCTTTCAAAACAAATATACCACTGCAACAGGTTAAGAATAGATTGTATGACATATATATGTATGTGTGTGTACATAATTTTAGAATGCATCTAGGATCTATTTTTACTTTCTGAAGAGTTTCATATTGCTAATATAAATGGAGATATATAATCTCAAAATATCTTACTGAAGTGATTTCTATGAATCCCCAATGCTATGTGATCCCAAAATAAATTCAAATATGAACATTTTATCTTAAAGACTTACTGAGTAACTACTGAAGAGTGATCATTGAAGTATAGCCACAGTGGGACCACTTAAGATTTGCATCTGTCTGGGTTGACACCTGCTGCTGTTTATTCTGTTATTTTTTAAAATTTACTTATTTGCCTGCATCAGGTCTCTTAGTTGCAATACTTGGGATCTTCATTGCATCTTGTGGGATTTTTTTCATTGCGGCTTCTATTTGTGGCTCATGAGCTCATTAGTTGCAGTACATGGGTTTAGTCACTCTGCAGCGTGTGGGATCTTAGTTTCCCAACCAGGGATCAAACCTGCATCTCCTGCATTGGATGACAGATTCTTTTTTCTTAATCCAATTTTATTTTATTTATTCTTTTTGCCATTTAAAAAAAATTTAATTGGAGGCAAATTACTTTACAATATTGTGGTGGTTTTTACCATACATTGACATGAACCAGCCATGGGTGTACATGTGTCCCCCATCCTGACCCCCCTTCCCACCTCCCTCCCCATCCCATCCCTCAGGGTCATCCCAGTGCACCAGCCCTGAGCGCCCCGCCTCATGCATCGAACCTGGACTCACAATCTGTTTCACATATGATAATATACATGTTTCAATGCTATTCTCTCAAATCATCCCACTCTCGCCTTCTCCCACAAAAGTCTGTTCTTTACATCGGTGTCTCTTTTGCAGTCTCGCATACAGGGTCATCGTTACCATCTTTCTAAATTCCATATATATGTGTTAGTATACTGTACTGGTGTTTTTCTTTCTGGCTTATTTCACCCTGTATAATAGACTCCAGTTTCATCCACCTCATTAGAACTGATTCAAATGCATTCTTTTTAATGGCTGAGTAATATTCCATGGTGTATATGTACCACAGCTTCCTTATCCATTCGTCTGCTGATGGGCATCTCGGTTGCTTCCATGTCCTGGCTACTGTAAACAGTGCTGTGATGAACATTGGGGTACACGTGTCTCTTTCAATTCTGGTTTCCTCGATGTGTATGCCCAGCAGTGGGATTGCTGGGTCATATGGCAGTTCTATTTCCAGTTTTTTAGGGAATCTTCACACTGTTCTCCATAGTGGCTGTACTAGTTTGCATTCCCACCAACAGTGTAAGAGGGTTTGGATGGCAGATTCTTAACCACTGGACCACCAGGGAAGTCCCAACACCTGCTGCTGTTTAAATCAGATGCAAGGCGGGAGTCCAAACTATCTGATGTATATATACACTTAGTAGCAAACTCAGGGCAAAGCAGCAGTTAAAATTTTACAGACTTTGGGTAAGTAAAAATGTTGACAATTAAATAACATTCTTCCTTCTAAATCATTAAAATTAGGGAAATAAAAAAATCCTAAGTACGTTTGACCTTGGAGAATTTATTTCAGAGCAAGAAGTACCAGGTTTGTAGTTTAAAATGTTGCCCTCTCATCGTGTGAAGGTCATTTATGTGATAAGAGCTGTATTCCGTATCAAACCAACCTATTATCATTACTCTGGCATGAGTGTTAGTCATGAGATTTTATGGTCCCCCTCTCACACAGAAGTTGTTCTGGATAAGCTAAGTGTGATACTAAGAATAAATGGAGTGGAACCAAAGCATCACAGATTCTTATAGAAGGAGAATATGAATTTTTATGAGAAATTGAAGTATGCTGATAGAATCAGTGGTAGTTCATATTTCATTTACTGAAGTTTCCAGGTATTACTGATGTTTTCTATTTGGCTGTTGATGTTACTCAGTGAACCTATGACATTTAGGTATCTTGGAAAGAAATTTTTTCACAGGTAATATATAGAGGTTCCTCCATTTATATATAGATAACCCTTCCCATATCTGATATTAACACATACTATAAAGTCTGTATAATTAAAACAGTGCAGAGCTGGTACATAGACAGCCAAACCAGTGTCTGAAATTGAAAGTCCAGAAATAGACCCAAGTAAGTATGGAAATTTTGCATATGATAAAGGTTGTAGCTCCAGGAAAAGGGCTTTTTAACAAAAGGTGCTAGTATAATTGCATAGCTATTTGAAAGAGATAAAAGTTATATACATTCCTTACAGCAATCATAAAAACTCTAAATAAAGCAGAGATGAAAATGTAAGCATATGAAACCATACAGGTGTTAGAAGAAAACCGAGTGAATTCCTGGTAACCTGAGTATACGGGAGGCTTCTAACTATCTAGAGGCAATAAAAGAAAAGATCAATAATGTTGGCTAAAAAAAAACCAAACAAACTCATTTGCATGACACAGAACACAATAAGCAAAAACAAAAGGCAAAGGACTTCCCTGGTGATCCAGTGGTTAAGCATCTACCTTCCAATTCAGGGGCCACGGGTTCAGCCCCTGTACCAGGAAGATTCCACATGCTGCAGAAAAAGGAAACCAGGGTGCCACAACGACTGAGCCTGCGCTCTAGAGCCCCAGAGCCTCGACTGCTGAGACCGCATGCTGCAACTATGGATGCCCTAGAGCCTGTGCTCTGCAACAAGAGAAGTCCCCACTCGCTGCAACTAAAGAAAGGACCTGCAAGGCACTGAAGACCTCGCGCAGCATAATAAATAAATAATTTAAAAAATAACTGAAGGGAGAAAAAGATCAAAGTCTTCATAGAAAAATAGGTAAGAGACATGGACAATTCAAACACACAAAAACATACATTTGAAAAGACAGTCATCTTCACTCATAATGAACAGAAATGCAAATTAAAACTATACTGAGAAGCCATTTTTTAACCTATGAGATTGACCACACACACAAAAAAGAAAGATATTCTGTTGTTGAGACTGGGTTGAAGTAAGCTCTCTCTTACGTTGATGCTGAAAATGCAAATTGGTATAAACTTGGAGGGGAATTTGTCAATATCTAACAAAATTATCTATAGCCCAGCATTTCCACTCTAGAAACCTACCCTAAATATACAGTTCCAACATATAAGAATGTATGTACACAAAACTACTAATTATATTATTGTAATTAAAAAATATTGAAGATAACCTAAATGCTCACACAGAGAATGATTGGATTAACTATGGCTAATCTATACAAGGGAGACTATGCGGAGGTAGAAAGGAATGAAACTCTCTGTGAACTGATCTCCAGGATGGACTGTAAATTTAAAAAGAGCAAATACACAAGAGAATATGTGGTATGTTATTCTTATGAAAGAGATTTGGAGAAATAAGAAAATATACATGTTTCTGCTCATTTGTACAAAAAGAAACACAGCCCAAATAACTTAGAAACTGAAAAAATTTTTTACCAATAGAGGATGAGTAGATTAGGGTGAGAAAGACGGTGGGAAGAAGCCGGAAGGAGCTATGGAGGAGTGACGCTTGTCCAAGCATTTCTGTCTTTTGTGTAGTTCCGACTACTGGAAGTCTTTTGCATACACTCAAAAAAGAAAAAAAAAATTCAGGAAAGATATAGGAAAAAAAAAAAACAAATAAAATACAAACTAAAGCAAGTGAACCTAACTGCGTTTCAAATTAAAACCATAATCCAAGGATACTTGGAACACTAGCTTTTGATGATATATACGGTGTTGGAGAAGACTCTTGAGAGTTCCTTGGACTGCAAGGAGATCCAACCAGTCCATCCTAAAGGAGATCAGTCCTCGGTGTTCATTGGAAGGACTGATGCTGAAGCTGAAACTCCAGTACTTTGGCCACCTCATGCGAAGAGTTGACTCATTGGAAAAGACCCTGATGCTGGGAGGGATTGGGGGCAGGAGGAGAAGGGGACGACAGAGGATGAGATGATTGGATGGCATCACCGACTCTATGCACATGGGTTTGAATAAACTCTGGGAGTTGGTGATGGACAGGGAGGGCTGGCGTGCTGCGATTCATGGGGTTGCAAAGAGTTGGACACGACTGAGCGACTGAACTGAACTGAACTGACTCTTAGGCTAAAGATAAAAAGAACTATAAACAAATATTGGATTCTAGTGAGATATATTTTTCATAGTAGTTGGGCTAGCAATTTCTGTGTATTCTAAGATTGAGGAAATATATATATATATTATAGATAATAGAAGTAGGTTTCTTATTGTGAGATAAAGAAGTTATAAAAATAGAGAGATGGCAAGAAGGAATCCTATGGCATGAGACTGAAATGATAAGTATCAGTATGGAGATTAGATGATAGATAGATGATAGATAGAGGGACAGATAGATAATGTGTATGCAAAGAGCCTATAGCAGTAATATCCCAGTAGCAATGATCATGCCTCCTACCCAGAATTTGGTTTCTAAATACCACTTTCCACTGTGCGTGATGGGTATTCAGTTGTGTCCTACTCTTTGCAACCTCATGGACTGTAGCCTGCCAGGCTCCTCTGTCCATGCAAATTTCCAGGCAACAATACTACAGCAGATTGCCATTCCCTTCTCCAGGAGATCTTTCTGACCCAGGGATTGAACCCTGTCTGTTGCATCTCCTGCTTTGGCAGGTGGGTTCTTTACCAGCTGAGCAACCAGGGAGTGAACCTATATAAGTTCCTTGAAGAAATGGTTGATTGCCGGGCTAGTTACGGGAATGTATAAAATGGGTCTGAAACCCTTGTGCCAATGAAAAAAAAGGCTGATGGGCATACATCAAAAGCCTCACAGGCCACACTCCATACCTACTCCCCATTCATCCTTGCTATGAAATAATTCCTATGGAGTGGCAGAAATCTTTATTTCTTTATGAAAAGTGCCTTTAAAAAGAAAGCTCAGGGTGAGTACCAGTCACAGGGACCAAAACGAAGATAAGGGTTCCAAGCTAGAAAGTAGATATGTTGTGTCCTGTCAAAAGAGGTGAACAGATCCACCACCCACTCTTGTGAGAAGAAAAAGCAAATTGAGAAATTACTTTGGCCAGTACAGTCATCCCCCAGTATCCACAGGGTACTGGTTCCAGGATCCCCAAGGATGAAGAAAATCTGCCCTACTCTAGTTTTTTATATTAATATAAAGTCGTATACCATTTCCACGTGATGTACGCACATCCTCTTGTACACTTTAAATCATCTCTAGATTATTTACAATACTTAATACAATGTAAGTGTTATGTGAATAGTTGCCTGCTTGTGGCAAATGCAAGTTTTGCCTTTTGGAACTTTCTGGGTTTTTTTCCCCTCAAATATTTTCAATCTGTGGTCGGTTGAATGTGGGCTGGAGAACCTGCAAAGTACAGCTGAGTGTAGGTTATTCTGTGAAGGAAACTGACTCAACAGAGTAACAAAGTTGGTGATGTTAACTTGTGGTGTGAGAATATACTGAAACAGTGTCTTCTGAATAAAACATGAGAAAGCCAGGAGCATGACAGGTATTAATAAAGAGCAATAGGCAAAAAATAATCATGGGGGCTTCCAAAGTACATGTCATGGAGGTATTTGAGAATCTGGAGTTTTATATAGGCCTCCAAGACATATTTATTGTGAATGGTGGTGTGTATATAGCTTGAAAGATGAGAAATCTGATACAATAGACTAAGTTTATCAGGACATTTTGTGAAAGGGCTTGGAGTTGTTACAGGCGTTTGCTGCTTAAACAAGCACTTCTTATATGTGCATTTCTAATCCTGATTGAATATCTCTAGACCTTGTGTTAAATTATACTAAATTGGCTGCTAAAATGCCATAATTCACAATTATAAAAATGATAAAGAAATGCTTTAAGTTAAACACTAAATCCCTGAAGATTAGCATATCAGAAAATTATACACTAATCACAGCTGGTTTTCTTTTCAGGAATTCCAACATATTCGTAGCAGCAGTTTTGTTATTTCTAAAGAATTGAAACAGGAGAAAACTACAGTTCTCTATCCAATTAGAGATTAGCTAGTTCATGTATTTAAAACCCACTATACTTTTACGAAAACAAAGCCAATAATACAACACTGTACCTCAAAAAGGGGCATTATGTAATTAATCTATTCTTCCATGTTTCGAGTGTGAGCATTTCCCCCACAGAGATGCCTGATTTTGACTTGTTCCCAGGGTACTTGGAACTCGTTTTGTAAGAGGGCTTAACATTGAAATTACTTCTTATGCTAAAATCCAATTTTTCCCCTGAATAGGCAAAGGAAGGAAAAGGGTCCAGAGTCAAAGGAAATGCTTATAATAAGCTCAGGATATATTAATGGTTGAGAAACTAAATAACAGTCTTGTTCTGATTCTTTATTTTCCTATAACCTCACGTTTGCATTTTTACTAGCCACTGTCATTACTGAATGACTGTCCTGATTTTATTTCTTTTTTAAAGATGTATCCATTTTTATCTCCTCTCAAATTTCATGTGTTTTTTTTCTGCCGCACCATATGGCATGTGGGATCTTAGTTCTCTGATCAGGGATCAACCCTCACCCCTGCAGTGGAAGCAGAGAGTCTTAACTGGAGAAGTCCCNCCTCACGTTTGCATTTTTACTAGCCACTGTCATTACTGAATGACTGTCCTGATTTTATTTCTTTTTTAAAGATGTATCCATTTTTATCTCCTCTCAAATTTCATGTGTTTTTTTTCTGCCGCACCATATGGCATGTGGGATCTTAGTTCTCTGATCAGGGATCAACCCTCACCCCTGCAGTGGAAGCAGAGAGTCTTAACTGGAGAAGTCCCCTGATTTTGTTTTTATCAAGAGATCTTTTAGAACCTTACTCATTCACTATCACTTCATTTTAAGACTTTACCCTAGAGATAGGGTAATAATCTGGTAAATCTGTGTGCGTGAGTGCTCAGTTGCTTCAGCCGTGTATGACTTAGTGACCCTATGAACCTTAGTGACCCTATAGCCCGCCAGGCTCCTCTCTCTGTCCATTGGGTTTTCACAGCAAGAATGCTGCAGCGGGTTGCCATGCCCTCCTCCAAGGGACCTGCCTGACCCAGGGATCAAATCCGCGTCTCCTCCATCTTCTGCATTGCAGGCAGATTCTTTACCACTGGGCCACCAGGAAAGCCCCTGGTAAATTNGGTTGCAAAGAGTGGGCCATGACTGAGAAACTGAGCACGTGTTAGCTCTCTGTTTAACTTTTGGGGAACTACCGAACTGCTTTCCAAAGAGTCCACGCCATTTTGAATTCCCAATGGCAATGTATGAGGATTCTAAAATCTTCATATTCTCATCATTATCTTTTTTATGTCTTAAATCACAGCCATCTTAGTGGATATGAAGTTGTATCTTATGATTTTTACTTGAATTTCTCTAATGACTAATGATGTTGAGTATCTTTTTATATGTTTATTGTCCATTTGTATATCTTCTTTGGAGAAATGTCTACTTAGATTCTTGGCCCATTTTTTAATTGGATTATCTCTTTATTGTTGACTTGTAAATGTTCTTTTGTGTATTCAGGATATGAATCCCTTATCAGATATATGATTTGCAAACATTTTTTCAGTCTTTTTTCCCAGTTCCTTGGTAGTGTCCATTGAAACATAAAAGTTTTTATGTCTGTTGAAATCCAACTTAATCTATTTTTACATTTTTGTTGTAAAGCCAAGAAACCTATGTTAATACAATGTCAGAATGATTTTTGTCTATGTTTTTTTCTAAGAGTTTTTACATTTTAGATCCTGATCCATTTTGACTTATTTTTTTGTATATGGTGTAAGGTCCAACTTCATCCCTTCGTATGTGAATATCCAGTTGTTCAAACACCATTTCAGGACATGGAATTGTCCTGAAACACTTGTTGAAATTCAAATGACCATAGTCATAAGAGTTTATTTCTATGTTCTCAGTTCTATTCCTATGACCTATATGTCTATCCTTAATATCAGTACCACACTGGTTTTATTACTGTAGGTTTCTAGTAAGTTCTAAAATTGAGAGTGTGAGTCCTCCAATTTGTTCTTTTTCAAGAAAAGCTGATTCATTGGATAAGACTCTGATGCTGGGAAAGATTGGGGGCAGGAGGAGAAGGGGGTGACAGAGGATGACATGGTTGGATGGCATCACTGACACAATGGATGAGTTTGAACAAGCTCCGGGAGATGGTGAAAGACAGGGAAGCCTGGGGTGCTACAATCCACGGGGTCACAAACAGTTGGCAAGACTCTGAACAACAACAGAGCTTGTCTGGGCTATTCTAAATGCCACATTCATTTTTCTGCATTCTTTTTTTCTGCTCCTCAGACTGGGTAATCTCAGTTGACCTATCTTTAAACTTGTTGATTTACCTGTCAACTCCAGTATGCCACTGAATTCTCTAATGTATATTTTATTTCAATTTATATTTGATCATTTTTTTGTAAAAAATTTTTTTTAATTAAAAAATTTTAGTTCTTATGGTCTCTATTTTGAGAGTGATTGTTTTTATACTTCTCTTTAGTTCCTTAGATTTATTTCCTTCAGTTTTTTGAACATAGTTAAACTAGCTATTTTAAAGTCTTTCATACTGTCTGTCAGGTCAAATTATGACTATTCTCTGAGGATTGTGGGAAGATGGGAGCTTTCAACCTATTCGGCTCCTCCCAGTAGCTGCCAGGCTACGGGTTTCCTTTCACAGTGATGGGGAGTTGGTTTTCAAGGCTGCCATGGACCTGAGGAGAAGGGGATGGGCACATGGCAAATTAAAAAGCTTGCTGCTTTTAGCAAGATTCTGCTGTCCTTCTTGAATAAACAAATTGTTTCATGCCCTTGGTTAATTTCCCAAGTTCTGCAGAAGTTGATATTTGACAATTTTTGCGAGCATTTTTGTTGCTTTTATTTAGGAGTGGATCTGGGGGCTTCCCTCTTGGCTCAGGTGTAAAGAATCTGCCTGTAATACAGGAGACCTGGGTTCAATCCCTGGGTCAGGAAGACTCCCTGGAGAAGGAAATAGGTACCCATTCCAGAATTCTTGTCTGGAGAATCCCATGAACAGAGGAGCCTGGTGGGCTACCGTCCATAGGGTTGCAAAGAAGCGACTTAGCATGCACGCATGTAGGAGGCCACGTACACACTTGTTGACCAAGTCCTCATCCTTAAAGCAGGGATGACCCCTTCCTGTTTACTTTCTAGGACTGTGGTGAGGGATCACAGGAGAAGATACACATGAAGTCATTTTTTAAAATTTAATTTTTAATTGTAGTATAATTACAATATTGTCTTGGTTTTTGCTATGCATCAGTGTGAATCAGCCATAGGTATACACGTGGGGCCTTTTGAGGTGCCTTACAAATCCCACTTCTTACAAAAACAATTACTATAAGTAAACAAAAACAAATTATAAAAACTGTAAAAATAGGGACTTCCTCGGCCATCCAGTGGTTAAGACTCAGCTTTGCACCACAGGGGGTTTGCATTCTACCCCTAGTTAGGGAGCTAGGAACCCAAAGACTGCAGGGTATGGCCAACAAAATAAAAAGTGTAAAAAGTTTTTAAAAATTTATAAAAATACTCTCATTTTTATCACCTATGCATCTCATGCTGTGATGGCTTCATTTGAATAACTGTTTAGACAATTTAGTGAAAATAAGTAATTTATTTCTGCTAAGCATTTTGTGGGCTATCTTTTGTGAAGAGTTCTATAACCACACTGTAAAAACACTAATAATTACTAATATGTCCCAAGAAACAACCATGCAGGAAAAGAAAAGCAGTTACTCACTCTCTGCTTTTAATTGTCCAAGGATGGAATTTTCTCCTCTGCACATGGTTCTGAAAACACATAAAGGAAAGAAACAATTAAAGAGATTTCAAAGGAACCAATCCCAATTGCAATAACCTAATCCAAGTAAAAACAGAGCAAGTGCTTTTATGACAAGATGCTACATAGGCTTTTTAAAAGTTAAAAAAAAAAAAAAATGAATGTCACTTCTGTTACTGATGGGACAAGTTGTTTTGAGGTGGATAAATGAAAAGTTACAAAATTGATATTAGATTTCAGAAAGTGAAAGTGTTAATCACTCAGTTGTGTTTGAGTCTTTGTGACACCATGGACTGTAGCCCACCAGGCTCCTCTGGAATTTTCCAGGCAAGAATACTGGAGTGGGAAGACATTCCCTTCTCCAGGGGGTCTTCCTGACCCAGGGATCGAATCTGAGTCTCCTGCATTGGCAGGCAGATTCTTTACATCTGAGCTACCAGGGAAGCCCAGAAAGAGATGTTATTTTAAAAAGATGGGATTATGAATGAGTTTTCCCTCTTAGAGGAAAACTCTAAGAGGTGGCATTAGTTCCTTTGGAATTAAAGAAACTACTGTACCTGAGCTCTCTCCGTAAAGATAGAAAACCCCTTAAAAGTGAAAAGTTTAGTCTTGAATAGCTGACTCTACTAATGATTTTGTTTCTCAAGACTCTGATAATAGGCAATGAATTAGACTGACAAAACAAAAAATTCTATGCTCCATTTGCTTGCTCTATGAAAGTAATTAAAAATACACTTATGTCTAGGAAATGCTGATATTATTAAAGATGATGCCAGCAAATTGAGATGTTTTTGCATAATAAAAGGTTATAGTTTCAGTTGCTGAACAAAAGCCAAACATGTTATTTCATTCAGCTGGTTCAAACCCAAGAAAACAGTCATAGAAAGTAATTACAATTGACAGTATTCCAAAAATAATATTAGCATGGCAAATGAAGTGGATAAAACCAAATTAAACATTATGTCGGTGCCTTAAATACTTCAAAAGCTTTGTTTGTCATGTTATAAATCAGATAATATGAGAAGTGGGCAAATCTTCAAGTGCATAGACCAAAGCACAGGGAAAATTTTCTCATACTGTCAGCAGGCAAAATGTCACCGGGCAAAATCACCCCAGAAGAAACAAAACATCTTTACTTGAAACCCTGGTAGACAGAACGATACAGGCTTGAAAAGTCAGAAAGAAACAAGAGGATTAGAGAAAAGATTTCCACCACAGTGGTACACTCAAACCACTGGAAGGCCTTAGATCCTGCAGGGATCCCCTCTAGGGAAGAGGACAGAAGCCAGAGCGCATCTAAGCCCCCACCTCCAATCTGACCAGGGCCCTGACCCTTATATGCTTTACACTCTGGGGGTTTGGGACAAGACCTCATGTGTCCCTTCCCTACAAAAGAACTTGATTAGAAAGGTGGGAAACTACACGTGGTTTTGAAAAGCGGGAAATTAAAAGAAAATATCCAAGTGCTAGTCCTTGCTCTGACATATGATCCTGAGTAGGGCACTTTTGTGTCTCAGGTCACAGGGTTTGTAACTGGGAGCTGGATTTATGCCACGGCTGTTGCATTTACTTTCTACTAGGTCACTCTTCTCAGCTAAGTGACCCAGAAAGAATGCGGCAGGGGGGTGGGGGTGGGGTTTCCAGGGGGCGTGGTTTCCATCACTTTCTGCACCATCTCTCTACACCGCCNTCTCAGCTAAGTGACCCAGAAAGAATGCGGCAGGGGGGTGGGGGTGGGGTTTCCAGGGGGCGTGGTTTCCATCACTTTCTGCACCATCTCTCTACACCGCCCACCAGCTAGGACCTCTCAGCCCTTTCATCATCATCTCCTTGCCAAATCTGAAGCCTTGTGGGCCTTTTTGAGTGAATGTGGACTCTCTGCTTTTCAGAATACTGAGAACAGGACTTCACATTCTCCCTAAAATTATAACAATGAGATGGTAGGGAAAACAGAATTAAAATTCCAGGAGACAGGAAAGAACCTTCATGCTTCACTTACTGGCAGAGACTATTATTACCAACCTTGCTGAAGGATTGCTGCCTAAAATACTCAGAAACCATCATGTGCAAATCATGTCACTGTAAGCATTTATTTTTTTCTTTTATCTACTTACTGCAAAGAATATGGAAAGCTCAATAACTATTTATGGCTTGAAGATAATTTTTAAGCTGTCTTTAAAATTAATTATATATAAAGAACTTTATATCTATATAAAGTTTTATATAGATATAAATTGTATCTATAATTTATACAGATAATATATATTGATTTATAATATATATTAATATGTACTCAATCTCTGGTGGCTCAGTGGTAAAGAATCCACCTGCCAATGCAGGACATGTGGGTTTGATCCCAGGGTTGGGAAGGTCACCTGGAGCAGGAAATGGCAACCCACTCCAGTATTCCTGCCTGGGAAATCCCATGGACAGAGGAACCTGGCAGGCTACAGTCCACGGGGTGGCAAAAGAGTCAGACACAACTTAGNTATATATATATATATATATATATATATATATATATATATATATATGTGATAGGCAATTAGTATAAGAGAGAGACTAATATTTTAGTTCTTTTATACTTACCAAGGGTCCTAGGCCTACCATTTAAGATTTCAGGCTCTATTTGAGTTTTATCAACTAGTGAACAGGCCAAGATTCAAATGCAAAACAACGAAATGTGTCCATCTACTCAACTGAGTAGATGTGGAGAGACATTTCCATGCCTCTGGCCAGTTTACATGCATGCCTGACTGCAAGCTGAAAACAGAGGACTGCAGAACTTTGGCACCTGTAGTTGAAGTGCATTATTGCCTGCAGGGCATTTCCTCCACCGGTTGAAATGTCTCCTTCAAAGCCTGGCAGAAGTGGTATCACAACATACACCCGGTATCTCTGGCTTCCCCTGCAAAAGTCAGGCGTAGAGAGTTTCATCACAAGGAAAAAAAAAAGACACAGTCACAGTTAAAAATGACAGCCAAGCAGCTCACATGGTTTTGGGGACTGAGCGAATGGCTTCCCACAATACCCTCTATCACGTTCCAGCATGTTGCTGGACCGGAAGCCAGAAGCGGCTATCAGGCTAACCACTCGTTAACAACCTGAAAAATAAGCTCCACTTGGCAGGAAAGTGGGAACTGTATCCACTATCTCTCTACAGCACAATCCTTCCTAGGACAAAATTCCTTGTAAGAAGGCCTTGCATGGATTCCATGGATGCTGAGGAGGTTACAATAAAGTTTTGAAAAGATACTATCCTAATCATTTCCTGCGGACAGTAGGCATTCAGTTAGCAATCACTGAGTAAATGAGTTCCCACAGCCTAAATCTCAGGGGAAAAACAAGATATTGGACCCAGGATATTTTCCAGTGCAGAAATCATCATTCAGAAGCTCTGATTCATCCCTGAAAACTCTGCTTCAAATGCAAAATGTTTCCCTGGGCCCATCAAGAATTTTAAGTAACTGATGTTGAGTTTTAAATCTCCTGCATAAAAAAAAGAAAAAGAGACTCAGATGTATAGAACAGACTTGTGGACTCTGTGGGAGAAGGCGAGGGTGGGATGTTTCAAGAGAACAGCATCAAAACATGTATATCTAGGGTGAAACAGATCACCAGCCCAGGTTGGATGCATGAGACAAGTGCTCGGGCCTGGTGCACTGGGAAGACCCAGAGGGATGGGGTGGAGAGGGAGGTGGGAGGGGGGACCGGGATGGGGAATACATGTAAATCCATGGCTAATTCATTTCAGTGTATGACAAAAACTACTGTAATGATGTAATTAGCCTCCAACTAATAAAAATAAATGGAAAAAAAAATAAAATAAATAAATCTCCTGCATAAACGAAATATTTCTTGGCTCACTCTCCCAACTGATTAACAACAGCCTTTGAAAGAAAAGCCTTTGAGTTGCCTTTGCTAACTCAAGGATGCAACAAATGTTTAGAAGAAGAAAGCGTGGCTCCTTACTTTGATCTGTGTTCAGAAAGTCGGAAATTTGGAGAACTATATTCAAACAGATACTGCCTCCTTGGAGGCGAGACTGTTAATGTCCTTATCTCTGGAAGACACACAGGAAGAAGGGCAAGTCTGGAGGTGGCCATGGTATCCACTATGGTCAGAATCTCACCCGTTTATCTGAGAAGTTTACATTCACACAAAGATGTTGCTGCAGCTTAATTTTCAAATCGGAATCTCCCTAAACTTTTCATAATACATAATTCCTAAAATGCATTTTCTTTTAAACTGCTACATTTTTCTTTTTTTAAAAAAACTGCTACACATGTCTTTTGGGTGAATATTATTTCTACTCTTAGAGGGATCAGACTTAATTACTGAGGTCTCTGATGTCAGCTTACCATATGAAGACTTAGGGAAAGTGTGGCTTGAGGCAGAAGCCACAGCCAACAGGACAGTCTGGAGGCCTTTGAGCTTAACTGCAGAGCCTAGAAATGAGGAAATCTGAACTAGGGTATTGTAATGGCATGAATTAATCACTAGATGGCAAACACAGTTTGAGTTGGAAATTAAAAAAAAAAAACAAAAAACTGTTAAAAGTTCTCTGTCAGGTAAGGGTAAGAAGCTCACATTCCTAGATATTAAGCTAGAAAATGGGAAGAACAGAAAGAATACCTAAGCCACTGTCCCACAGCTGGTATTTAAAAGTCCAGATGAATTTTACACCTGAAAATTGACACCATCTGGCCTCAACAAGCTGGTCTGAGTGCAATGGTGTTTATCATTAATTGATCACAGCCAGTTACAGACATCTCTGGAGAAGGAAAGGGCAACCCACTCTAGTATTCTTGCCTGGGAAATTTCATGGACAGAGAAACCTGGTGGGCTATGGTCCATAGGGTCGCAAAGAGTCAGACACAACTGAAGTGACTAAGCACTCATGCACATGGTCTCAACTGTCTTTACAAAATCACCTTTAGTCTCATCCTCCCAGGCCCACACTCGGGGATGGGACACCGCTGCCCTCTGTTCAGAGGTACACCCCACACTAAGGCAGGTTAGCCAACCTAACTTGTCTGCCCCCGAGCCTGGGTGACCTTCTCCTCCCAGGACCCCTCTTTCTCTTGCAGGACTGATGACTGGCTCTTCGCACCAGGCCATCCTGGATATGCCAGTCAGAACTGACTTGCTTCTGCCTTCACATTCCTGCTGCACATGGCTGGCATGCCTACTCAGCACCTTCTTTGCTTTACACAACAGTGACAGGTACATCTGCTGGCTAGAATACGTGATATGCCTTTTTGAAACACAGGACGTATGTCCACTTAGCTTTCTATTTGGGGCAGTGCCCACCACAGGACCTTTGCACAAAGCATGCACCTGGTACTATTTGCTTTGAGAGGATGGGGTCTGGTTAGAAGAAGGTTTGCTTCTGGAATACCTCTGATAGGCAAGAGGTTCAACAAGATATTTTTCTTTAAATTATATTACATTATTAGTTGAATTTTTTTATTGTGGTAAAACAGAAGTGTTAGTCAATCAGTCGTGTCTGACTCTTTGGGACCCCATGGACTCTAACCCACCAGACTCTTCTGTTCACGGAATTTTCCAGGAAAGAATACTGGAGTGGGTTTCCACTTCCTTCTCCAGGGGATCTTCCCAACTCAGGGATCGAACCCAAGTCTCCTGCGCTGCAGGCGGATTCTTTCCTGTCATGAGCCACCAGGGAAGCCAGTGGTAAAATATATGTAACATAAAATTCACCATTTTAACCAATTTGAAGTGTACCATTCAGTGTTCTCATTACTTTCACATCTTGTGCAAGCATCCTGACCTCTACTTGCAAAAGTTTTTCATGAGCCCAAATAGAAACTCTGATAATTTTGCAATAACTTCCCATTTCCCCTCCCAGCAACCTCTGGCAATGTCTAATCTACTTTCTGTCTCTAGAAATTTGCCTGGTCTAGATATTTTCAGCTAAGCAAAATCAAACAGTATTTGACGTTTTGTGGCTGATTTTATTTCACTTAGCATAATATCTTTCAAGATTCATCCATGATGTAGCATGAGTCAGAATTTCCTTCCTTCTTATGGCCGAATAATATTCTGTTACATGGAGAGACCACATTTGGTTTATCTTGTCATCTGTAGGTGGGCACTTGTGATAGTTCCAGCTTTTGGCTATCGTGAATAATGCGGCAGTGGATTTGTTATTGTTGTTGTTCAGTCGCTAAGTTGTGTCTGACTGTTTGCAACCTTGGGAACTGCAGCACGTCAGGCTTCCCCGTCCTTCACCTCTCCCAGAGTTTGCTCAAACTCCTCTCCATTGTGTCGATGTTGCCATCCAACCACCTCATCCTCTGTCACCCGCTTCTCCTGCCCTCAATCTTTCCCAGCATCCGGGTCTTTACCAATGAGTCAGCTTTTCACCTCAAGAGGCCAAATTATTGAAGCTTCAGCTTTAGCATCAGTCCTTCCAGGGAACATTCAAGATTGATTTTCTTTAGGATTGACTAGTTTGATCTCCTTGCTGTCCAAGGGACTCTTGAGAATCTTCTCCAGCGTTGCAATTTGAAAGCATCATTTCTTCAGTGCTCAGCAGGGAATGTGGGCATATGACATTTGAGTCCCTGTTTTCATTTATTTTATATACCCAGGAATGGTGTTACTGAGTCACATAGTTATTCTATATTTAGCTTTTTGAGGAATCACCAAATAAATTACATTTTTGAATGGATAACATATGCTCACAGAATAAGTCTTCAGAAGTAGAAGATTATACAATGAAAAATTTCTTTTTCACTCCTTTGTCTCTAGCCTTCATTTCCTCTCCCTAAGGGCAATTCTATTACCTTTCATGTTCTTTCAGAAATAGTCTATGAACTTATAAACATATATATGTATTCTTTCCTTCCACACAAATGTTAGAATACTATAAACACATTTCTGAACTAAAAAAAAAATAATTTATCTGTGTATCCTGGAAATTCTTTGATATTTGCACTTAGAGAGATGCCCATTTCAAAAAGCAAAATGACAATATTCCAAATCCATGCCATAATATTTAAACCAGTTCTCTTTTGGTAGGCATTGAGTCATTTCAAATTTTTTGCTACTCCAAAATTTCAAAATGCCTATTTTGCTATGTGTGCTGACGCACATAAGTTGTTTTTCACATTGGTTAGAAAAATTTCAGAAGTAACATTTTTGGTCTTGAATAGGAAGTATTTGTTATTCTGTTTGTAAAAGATAGTTTCCTTGTATCCTTGTGTTTTTTTTAAAAGCAAAGATGACTTCAAAATGTAGACATTTGGAAATGTCCTATAAAAATCTTCTATCTTGAGACAAAACATTCTTGAAGAGTCAGTTTGTAGAAATCAGACTATTCACATTTTCTTGTTCTTGGGACTCTGTTAGTTCTATATCAATGTCTTTGCTTTTTTTCTTTTTTCAATGTAGCAGTTTTTGAATTTCCTTAATGATGAAATTTTTAAATTGTGTTTAGGAAATTAGCAGAAATGACTTAGATTTTCACTGCTATAAAAAACAAAGGGCTCTGGAATTTTAAACCATAAAATTGTTGCTAAGTTTAAGTCAATGAAGAGAAAATTTTATGCACTAGCATGTCCAGTCTCCCTTCTTAATCTAGTCCCTAGAAAACAATGGTTCCCGGCTGCTAAGAATTCTAACCCCTTCTGAAACATCCTCACTATGCTGAGGAGGTGAAATGACAGCAGTTGGTGTAGGGCAAGAACCTGAGTCCCTACCGTGCAGAATTATTTATGATTTTAAAAGCAAAAGAAGAGCTAGTGGGCACCAGGTCATCATGCAGGCCATCGCTTTATCCATTTTAGTTCAGAACAATTTTATAAAATTGCATTCTCGGGTTTTTTGTTAAAATAAATTTTTCTTTCAAAACTCACTAACTCTCACAGCAGTGTTATGTACGATAGCTAGAAATTGGAAATAAATGTCTGATAA